ACTCAGCTGGCAGAAAATGGACTCATGAGTGTGTCATGATGAAGTAGGAGGCCTCTTAAACACAACTGTCATTTAGTGCTATAAAATGAGACTGCGAAAAGGGCCTCACCTTGGAGCTCTGAGGCTTGCAAAGCACAGGAGCTAAAGAGATTCAAAAAGCATTGCAATGAAACACAGGGTCCCCGGCATACATAACACCGAGTAGCACAAGGGAGGAGTACACTAACATGGGACCCACAAACGTTCAGTCTTCAGCCACACCCTCATCAAAAGTATGACTTTACACTAGCCCCAGACCTAGGAGAAAAAAATTCAATTCCAAATCATTGCATTCAGTGCAATGGGAGATATTCCTCTCTTATTCTCTTTTGCTCCAAAGTTGTGATTGTGAGAAGCGTGAAGAAGATTGGAATACTTGTAAGGGTGCTTTGGAACTGGAAGCAGTCTTGTTGGCATTGCCACTAGGGTTGATGAATTGTGGGTGCTCTGGCAATATTTGCTTGCTGTGTGTTATGACAAAGGGGACATGTTCCCACTGTTAAGAGTTCGTTTCAGTGTTGCATGTGGGCTATGTTGCTGGAACAGTCCCTGACTGGTGGGCTGTGGAAATGTTTGATTTTCTGGTTGATGTGTTTTCATCCTCCTCTCCCAGACTTAGCATGCATTGAATGTAAGAGCTGCTCATCTGGCATTGTGCTTAGTGTATGTCTGGTTCTGGTGCAACGTTAGAAGAGAATTGCTCTGTCCGGTTTCTTGCTTGCTTTTGTTCTGATCGGTTTCACTTAAGTAGTATGCTTAAGTATTTAGGTCTCTAATGAAGTTTCATAAACATTATTATTCTCAATTAGAAGATTAGCATTGCATCACTTGAGCTACTAGATGAGAGCAGAACACCCATGCAGATGTTTGTCAGCAACTCCTCTACAATTTACTTACCGGTAAATTTAAATAGATTAGCCAAAGCTAAACACCATGGAACTATTTTTAACACCTTTTTAATTTCAAAATATTATGTACAATTTATTTTAAAACTTGCTTGTAGTGTCTCCTAAGGAACAGGATTTGAATGAATTCCAAGTATCAGTGGTTGCTGGGCTGTCCAATTTTCTCCTTAGGTTGAACTGATACAGTATAAACAACATCTAAATGGCATCCAGCACAACAAAGTGAGCCCTGCCCAACTATTTTCTCAAAGCCCTTTAAAAGCTCACAAGTGAATATATTTAGCAATTTCTACTTGTGCATCAAATAGTCCATCCTTGTCTCACACCCTCTTGAGAAAACAGTACAGTGGTACCTTGGTTCTCGAACTAAATCCATTCCGGATGTCCGTTCAATTTCCAAAACGTTCGAGAACCAAAGTGCGTTTCCCAAAGAAAGTAATGCAAAGTGGATTAATCCGTTCCAGACGATAAAAACAACCCCTAAAACAGCAATTTAACATGAATTTTACTATCTAACAAGACCAATGACCCATAAAATGAAAGCGATAATGAATGTACTGTACTGTAAAATAAATAAAACGGTATTGTACATGATAAAAATGAAAATTTATGTTTTTTTCTTTCCTGCACTGATGATAATTGTTGTTTGGATGGGGGGTCGGTGTCCTCTTCCAGAATCACAATCGGTGACTCCTCTCCTACCATTCCTTCCCTTGCTTTTTTTAAACCACTGACATCTGGTTCAGACCCGCTAATTCTTTTCCTCACTAAAAAAATTTCAATTGAGAGTTGCATTTTCCGATGTTTTAAAAATTGTCTAAAGTGAGACATCACATTTTCATTGAAAGTGTAAGTGGCATGAATTGCAGCAGCTTTATCAGGGTGATATTTTTCAACAAAAGCTTGCACTTCAGCCCATTTTGCAAGCATTTCTTTGATCACTGCAGTGCATACACTTTTTCTGCTCTCCTCCTGCTCTGAAGATATTTCCTCAGTTGCTGTCTGTTGCTGCTCCATCAGAATGTTTTGAAGTTCTTCTGTGGTGAGCTCCGTTTTGTGGTCCTTCACTAACTCCTCCACATCATCACTACTCACTTGCAAGCCCAAGGACCTGTTGTTCTGTTAATGGTTCTCTTGGCTTTGCAGCATTTATCCATTTCCGCACAGTCACACAATCAAATTGCAAGAGTGCTTTTGAAAATACCGTAGCTGAACTGGGTTCCACAGAGTCACAAAAACAAATAAACCAAAAAAGTTGCAAAAACAAAATCACCGAAAAAGTCGAAAAACAAAATCACCAAATATAAGCTCCAAATATCACCTCTGTGTTGCATGGGTGCTCGGGACTCGCCAGCTGAAAGACTTCAGCAGAAGCACTCAGAACAGAAGCGTAGCACGTTTGGCTTCCGAAAAAAGTTTGCAAACCAAAGCATCTCCTTCTGGGTTTGCGGCGTTTGGGTTCCGATTTGTTCATCAACTAAGCCATTTGAGAACCAAGGTTCCACTGTATTCCACTTCCATCTAGAAAACAAGATAACTGGGACAGGGAAGGTAGATTCATTGACCATCTTCTCCCCCTCCATAGCTCACAAGCCGAAGCCGTTTAAAGATAGGGAGTTAGCAAATCTATTGAAATCTTACACTTGGAGAGCATTTAATGTCTGACTCTTGGGAACATTTCTTTTATGTAGGAGTTTTATTTATAGAGGTTTGCTCTAAGGGAAGAATTATTAATAAAATACACCGAAGACAGCAAAACCTGTCTTCAAGGAACAGAACTGTGATGTAAACAAACATTAGAATCAGATAATGAAGCTTTTGTGCTGCAGTCATATCACAAAGGAAAATTGGAAAAATGCTTACTGAAAAGGTTGCTGAGCTGGAAAGCTTGTTATAAAGGCCAAAAACGCAGAACAGTTTTCTGAGTTATGAGTCTATAGGTGTCAAGCAACATTTTAGTTCACAGTAAAAGCTGTGACAACCCATCCTATTAAGCTGTCCAGGATGTAATTTTCTATCTCAGCCTTATTCAACAGGGACCCTCCAGATGTTTTGGACAATTTCCATTGCCCTGACCATTAGCCATGCTGGCTGGGGCTGATGCCAGTTGTAGTCCAAAACATCTGGAGGGTACCTGGTTGGGGATGCTGCTCTAACTGCAACCTGGCATGGTAGTTCATTTTAACACCTCCTACGAAAGCACATCAAAGTGCAGGTAGATAAATAGGTACCACTCTGGCGGGAAGGTAAACGGCGTTTCCGTGCGCTGCTCTGGTTTGCCAGAAGCGGCTTAGTCATGCTGGCCACATGACCCAGAAGCTGTACGCCGGCTCCCTCGGCCAATAAAGCGAGATGAGCGCCGCAACCCCAGAGTTGGCCACGACTGAACCTAACGGTCAAGGGTCCCTTTACCTTTACCACTGCATTTAGATCCAGCCTCTCTTCTACATGTTATGTAAAGCCAGCGTCACTTAAGCTAGTGCTTGTGAGCAGGGAAGGAGCAGTTTCTTAATTCTTTCCCTTCACATATTAGTGGAAACACTAAAAACACCCACTCACCTTATATGCTTTACGATCAGCTGGCACTTCCTTGTCTCTGTATTTCAATTCTGTATAGCTGCTCTCAGCAGTATATGTTAGCCCAATAAAAGTGGTAAGAAAGCAAATACTCTTGGAGCTCTCCTCCCCCCTTTATGGAAGCCTTCTACAAAAACTCAACTTGGTAGCCCATCTCGAAGAAGGAAAACTCTGTGAAACTTTATTCCTACAAACTGCACCACAGTAGGTGGGTGTCCAGTAACTAACAACCATCAGTCACCAACTATGGTGTACAATCCAAGCCTATCCTATCAAGAGAGGTGTGCCTAAACCCGCTGAACTCAATAGGCTTAAGCACACATAACTCTTCTCAAGCTTTTAGTCTTAAGCAGCCATCACTAAGCCATCCATGTCCAATTCACAAGTATATTTAGCTATTAAGCTACATATAAAAGTAGGCATGGGGGGCAGTGTAGAGAATCACGCATCCAAAGAGTATGCTTCCAAATTAGTGCGGCTTGTCCGAAAGATGCAGTGTTTTAAGAAGTTTCTAGGGAGGGGGCTGAAAGATCAAACACGAAGAACTCCGATAATGATTTCAGCTATGTATAGGAAGCAGCAGCTAGCTGGATAGTTGCAAAACCAGACGTTTTAAGTTGTTAACATAATTTCAGGTCCCGGATGAATGAGCTAAAATTTGCTTTTAGCAACAGTTCAGATCTTACATAAAACATTGTTTTAATGGAAGAAAACTAATGGAAAAAAGATTACGATTATTTGAGCTTATTCCACATCTTCCCTAGTAATGCCTAGTAATGCAGTTCCAGAGGTTGCAATCCTAGTGGGAGGGAGACGAGGGTGTGCTGATCTGGGCTAAATGTCCTGCTGCGACGACTGAAGCAAGAGCTCAAAAAAATTGCCTTTTCTGTCTATGGGGTGGCGCCCTGAACGCGCACGCCCCCCAACCCGAAGTCCTGAGCTGCTTGGCCCTGGGGAAAGAAGAGAGCGCGCGTGTGTATATGCGTGCGTGTGAACTGGGGCCAAGTACGTATTCTCTCGCCAGGCTGTTCTGCGCAGGGACCTCGGGAGACAAAAAGGGCGGGCCCACAGCGCGAGGCCTGCATGTAGCTCTGCAGAACCAGCGGATTAAAAAAATAATAAAAACCCAGAGGGCGGCGTCTCCGCCTGTTACCTCAGCGCCGTGCCCAGGATCCCCTATCACGTGATCCCCGAGAAGGGCGTGGTTGCGCGCGAAAGGCTCCCCCTCCCGCCCTCCGCGCGCCGGTCCCCTTCCACAGCAGGGTCTGTGCGCAGGAGGCGATAGAGAGGTAGCGCGGCGGCCGTTGATGAGAGCATCAAGCGGCGACTCCGAACCTGCAACGGCAGCGAGTCCGCGAGGGAGAGTGAGGAGGGGAGGGGGAGAAGAGCGAGCAGGCGGGCGCGCGGCCGACCGGCTTCAGTCAGCGCGAGCGGCGGCGTGAGGGGGGGGGGCGGCGGAGGCAGCGCTTCCCTCAGCGGCGTTCCGCTTTAATCCTCCTCAAGCCATCTCAGGTCGCTCTGGCCCGGCCCCTCTCTCCGGGGGTGGCGGGTCCGGGGGACGGAGGGGGTCACTCCGCCCCTTCGCCCGGGGACCCCTGGGAACCGAGGTAAGAAGGATGGGCGTGGGGTGGGGTGGGGGCGTTGCCCTAGCGAGCCGTGGGGCGCCCTTGTCCCACTGGGCGTTTGCTGGCCCAGAGTGAGGATGCGCGGCGGTGGGGAAGACGCCGGGCGGGGGGCTGCGCATTCAGACGAGCGTCTGTGGGAGGGAGGTCCCGGGTTGGGCGCTGGCGCGGCGTGACCTTGGGCACGTCTCCCAGCCCTGGCGGTTTTGACAGCAGCCACGGAGGCGAGAGGGGACTCCGGTGCTGCTGTCATAAAAAAAAGTTAAAGAGCTGTTGTGGCCCAAGGGAGCGGGGGTGGAAGCGATGGAAACTGGCAACTACTGGGAGTGAGTCCTAATTCTTATACCTGCTCTCTGGTCTTGCCCACGTGGGTTCTATCTCTGTAACAATAGGTCAGGTGGATAAAGGTTCTCGACAAGCCACATTTTAATGTGCCGTACTCTACTTGAATTCATCATATTTATATATTAGGTTTATAACACGTGTTTTCAGTAACTTCCTGTAAATAGAGGGCAATCAGGCAGTTTTTCCTCTGGTTTCCTCCACCTATAACTAAGTGTGCCAGTTACCCTGCCCCTCTACAGAGCTGCTAAGGGATAGCTATATAACCAATTTGCGGGCGGAGGGGAATTGGAAGGTGCTGCAAGAGGCTTAAGCAAGAAAACCAGGCAATAGGGTGGTGCCATATAAGTTGCAAAGTAATCACACCCTACCTTGTTGTTCTCATTACCAATAATTGGCAGGTGCCACAACTTGACATGGATTTTTCAGTACTTGCTTTCCTTCCTCCAATTAGTCAACCCTGTGCAAGTGGGTTGGTCAGTTGTTTACTAGGAGTCTGAGTGTATGACAGCAGCTGGGTTATTTATTCTGAGGATAGGTATGTATTATGTGCTCCTAAATAATTATGAATGCAATTTCTAGTTGGTTCTATGCAAATTTACCTGCCAGCACACCCCTCTAGTTTATATAGTGCTTGTTTCTGAAGGGGTATATGGGGTGTTGTGGTGGGAAATACTACCTCTAATGGGACATGTTGTGCCCTTTGTCCCCACCCCACACTCAGTTCTCACCTGTGGCTCCTAGAAGCTGTCAGCATGTGACAGTGGCCACACCCAGGGAACTTCTTCAACTGGCCTGCTAAACCAGGTGAGTATAACTGATGTGTCTCAAACCTTCAGTGAGTTAGGGACTTCCCCTGCATTTAAAGACAGGCTCCAGCAGATTAAGAGGATGAGACCAATAACGGGTCCAGTGGTCAAGAAAGCGGTTTCTTCATGTGCTGCAGAGGGAAGTGAGTGACAAATGGGGCTTGTCAAGGTAAGGGAAGGGAACCCATCTAGGAGGAGGAAAACTATGATTCTAAACTTCTGCTGCTTTGCGGGATATAACACAAATCTGGAGTGGAGTCCATAAGACAATTGGATGGCGCCTTATACGCCTCCTTCTGTCAACTCCTGCAGCCAAGCTGGTGCCAAACATATTGCTTTCCTTTCCTTTGGACCACATCACCAAGGCCAAAAGGAGGGATCTTTTCTTCTGGACAGCCCAGGACCTCCATACACACTGCTCAGGCTTGCATCCCGGGGAGGTCACTCAGGTGCTGCTAACGCAGCGGTTTGACTTAAACCCCGGAGGTGCACTTTTTTGTCTCTGGAGACAGACGCCAACAACATGTTTCTAAATAGGCCGTGATTCTGTTCACACTTTAGATTTTGTGATTGGTGTTATAACATAGAAACAGAGTTGAATCAATAGAAACTCTCCCTCAGTTCTGCGGTGCATCCTTGCACCATTCAGAAATTCTGCAGCTACAGAAAACAATGGAAAAAATGAGTTGTAAAACATCTGAGGAAAGGATGAGTTGTTGCAAGGTCAGAGGACCAGCTAGACTTTCTGGATATGACCTGCAGTTGTGTTTGGCAAGATTGGGCAATTTTTTAGTACCAAGGCAGGTTTAAGAATACTCTGTAGTTGGTTTGACTGTTTGAAATAACCTCCCCTGTGCTGATGCCGCTTCTATCCTAGCAAACATCAACATGTCTTTTGCACTCGCTGCAGGTGCAGGAGGATATATTTTTGTGGTGAATCCAGCATGATGCATGCATACATACATAATTTGCCAGTTGTCGTGGCAATGAACAGGTCTCTGTTTGCATGAATCTGTAGAGGCAGGGCTGTTTTTACTGGCAGTGTCACCAACTTGAGGTAGGTTGCAAGTACAAGAGTTTTACAGCCTTTTGTTGGGAACCTCACCAGAATCTAGCTTCTGGATACTTTGCTGTTAAAAAATAACATAAATGCAGTGGGCATATGAAAGGAAAAAGACAAAAGAAAATTTAATAGGGGTGGGGAAAAGAGAATTATCAGCAGTGATGATAGCAGGTAAGGAGTATTGGGCTCTTTTAAATCCCATTTTCCACATCGCCGACTGCTCATGCTTGACTCTGGAAATGAGGCTAGCTCCAGTTTCTGGTGGCTCATCGCCACTGGCTCACCTTTTATAAATTAAACAGCATTGATTACTGTATTGTGTCCATGATCCAGTGAATTCTTCTGTTACAACATCTAGGATGTATATAACACCAAACATTTATTTATTTGTGGATATATCACCTTTCTTCCCTAATAATGGCCCCAAGACAGGTTACAAAAGTTAAAATGAAATAAAAACCAATTTAAACTATATCAGGATTAGAATATCAAAAACCAAAAACCAAAAGAGCAGAGTTAAACTTTCAGTCTCAAATTTAAAAAACAAAAGGCAAGTAGAATAAAAAATACATAGCCCACCCTAATGTCATGGGGGCCAGTGATGGAGACCGTCTAACTTCCCTAGTAAGAGAATTCCATAGCAATGTGCTGCCACAGAAAAGGCCCTGTCCCATATTTCTGCTAACTAACCCTTTATTGGTGGTAGGGTATACAGCAGTGTCTTGGATTATTATTTTATCTGACAGGCAGGTTCATATGGAAGAAGGGAGTGTTTCAAATATCTTGGCCCTGTTTAGGGTTTCAGTGGTAAATACCAGCACCTTGAATTGGGCTGTAAAAAATGGAGCTTATTTACATACACAAATCTCTTTAGTCTGGTCAACTAATACTGTTTTGTGAAGAGGCCACTTTAAAGTGATTAAAACCTTAATCCTGATTTTTGTGAACTTGTGATCTAGATCACTTCTGCTTCATGGTTCTGTGTAACTAAAAAACTTGCACATTTCCATGCCAACACAAGTTTATTGAATTTAATAAGGAGACTGCGTCATCTGTTTTGTTTTTTGTAACTACAGAGACCATACAGCTGTGGAAGAATACTTCAGCATAGACATTTATAATATATGTGGTTGTCTTCAAAATCATTGTACAAGAGACAGGATTTTGAGTGCATGCATGCAAGTGTATAGTTCTGTTTCTGTGATTGCCCAGGTGCTTGAGGGCTGACTGCTGGAAAGAGCTATACGTCCTTCAGTAATATGTGCATTTATCTCCTTTGCCCCGCATTTACTGTATTCCTTCTATTCTCCCTGCTGCCTCGTTTCTTTAGTAACAGTTATTGCAGTAAAGATTTTTTTGTTCTTTATTGAATGACTTTCTGAGGTATATCTTTCCCCACTGGGCTGCCTTTCTCGGAAATCTCAGTGATTTTGCTCCTGTATAGCAAAAAATGTTTTTCTTTCCCATTTGAGAGCAGGCAGGATTTCCTTGTACAAATTCAGTTTGAGTATGATTTAATCTGTGACTCTACCTCCAATATCCTTTTTCCAAGTTCTACTTTCTCAAGTATGTCGGAATCAGCTTATGATTGGAAAGTTTGTCTGCTGACATTTGCTTTTCTATTGCACACTACCTTTAATATATCTGGGAGTCCTGACAGATGCAGGGCTTAAAAAAATTCTTTTTCACTGTAAAATGATTCTAATTTCATTAGAAATTTTGCAAACATTATTTTTGTTTCCTGTGGAGTAATTTTACTTTTACATTTTTTCAAGAGCCCTCAGTCCTAAAAAATCTCATGAAAACTAGTCATTTCACATATGTTGCACATATACTACAAGTGATTTGTTTTCTTTATTTACCTTGCTGGCATTTTTGTGAATCCCCAAAAGGATGCAACTGGATCTTGGCGCTCTGAAGAACAGAACTCTAAACCAAAAACAAATATTGGTTGGTTTCACTGCTGTGCAAATATCTGTAGCAGCCAACAGAACAATATGCTAGTTTAATTTTAGACTGCAGCTCAGTCGTCTAGGGTGTGCAATTCAAATATGCATTAAAAAAACCCTTTCACTGAATTATATAGATCAGATTACTATCTGATATAAAATGTAACATTGCATTAAAAAATATGTAGTTACCCAGATTTGTTCCTGATTCCCTAAATATGAAGGTTTTCAGATAATATTTTTGCATAATAGTTTTCTCTAGTGGTCAGAGATAAATTAGTGTGCCACATATTGCACCACTGTTCTATTGTTTACTCTTTTTCATATGCAGAGTAACCAGGCAAATTTTCTTCAAACTAGAGTGTATGAGTGCCTTTGGAACCATGCATTCCTTGTCTTAATATTATTTTGTATTCTTCTGCTTTCCTCCCATCCTTTAAAGTGTTGATTTAGTTTCAAATTTCTCAGCGTATGCTTACAATTCTCAAATGGTTTTTCCTTTGGGGATTCTATCTGTACAAGTGCTTTGAGGACTGTCTGTAAACTTACTTTACTCTATTTATCAGATCTTCAAGGTCTTATTCTGCTTTTGCCGCCTTTGGAAATAATTTGGAAAATGATTGCCTTGGCTGACTTGCATAGATTACTTAGAAAAATTTACACTTGCTATGATATCTTATCAAAGATTCTGCAGCACTGTTGCTCAAACTGCAGATTCATATAGCAGTAAGGAGGCTCGTTGCCAGTTTAAGAACATTAGTTTTAAGTGTGGAAAGCGGAAAAAAGGCGTGTGACGGTTTGCAAACTGAGCTGCATGTGCTGCAATATACACAGATAATTTTATGTTATGCTAATAGACTCATCCTATTTATTTATTATGTTAACTAACATGGAATATTATTGCAGTGGCTTACAAAAATAGTGAAATGCTTATACAAATAAACAAATAAAATACAGTAACTCTAAATCACTTACAAGTAAAAATGAACTAGCTGTCTATAAAACTCATTAAAATGTAGCAACTGACAGCCTTCTTGATTTTTTATTTTGCTTTATCAATTGTGTGAGAGGTAAGAGAAGTAAGGCAAGTGGATCTCATGATTGAGGAAGCTACCACAAAGAAGGCCCAAGACCATATGGTGTTGTGAGTCACCTGGAGAATTCCTGGAGAGGGTGGCATCATTCAAAGGAGGAATGGGAGGAGCTCAGGGACCTGGAGGAATCCAATCTGGACAAGGGCTCTAGTGGGTTGGGGATTGATGATTCAGGAACCCAAGAAGTGGATGGTCCACGGGAAGTTGGGGGATGAAGAGGTTCAGATCCACAGGAGGGCTCAAGTGAATTGCCTGTGGGCCTTCTGAAGGCTTCAATACTTGAAAGTGAGCTGGCATGAGACTCTTTTCCTGTGAGGGAGTGGCTGTCTGCTTTGAGAGAGGCACCTGGGTAGAAAATGGATAGTGAGCCAGCTTGATGCCTTCATCTTCAAGGGCACCAGCACCAGCTCATGCCAATGCTGCATGCCCAGTCTGCTTAGAGGCGTGCCCATTTGCTTGGACAGTCTTCAGACTTGGGCTGCTTGCTGCACAAATAGTCATGCCGATGCATTCAAAAGCAGAGTCTAGGATATGTGTCACTTGTTGAATAAACGTCTTAGCAATACCTAGTCATGCACCTTAGAGGTCTTCTGTGCTTTATGACATTGTAACCTGTAGGCTCA